AACGGAATGTTCATAATGAACACCTTCTTCGAGCATCGAAGAGTGTATCAGTTAACCTGGTAAAGGGAAGCTTGTAGAGAGAAGTCGACGATCAATTTGATGATCGTACCGTCTCACCACGCTCTGCAATGGATGTCCGCGTTAAGAGAGGCGCAGAGCTGTCTCCCGATCACCACCATGTTGCCTGGTACGCTACGCTGTAAGAAATGCAGTACCACACGAAGGTCTGATGGCAGAAGTAACCAGGGAATAAATGAGAAACATTATCTTCGGTGGACACGAGAGCGAAATTTTTTTGCCGAGCAGATTGGCAGGAGGACCAGGAGACGGCTGTTACAAATATATGGAAGGAGTCTGCTGCAGACTCCAATTGTCTTCTGCCGAAGCTCAGACTCTGGCAAAGAACGGAGAACGCTGGAAGCACCGTCTGACGTGACCCGAAAGAAGTAACGGTAATGGACGATAAAGATGAAGATTAAGTCAGTGTCGCTGTGCATTTTTAGACAGAGTTATGGAGCGCCTAGGCATTAAACAACTTTCCCTCATCATTTAGCACAAATTCTCAAGCAAGAATGAAAATCTGATTCCCGACTCTGTCTCAAGTTTTCTTTTCAGAAAAAATGTTAATAACATTTTCGTCAACTGTCGAACATCTGATGCAAGAAAATCCATCGCCTAAACGGCTTTTTACCGACGACAATGTCAACTGCTGAAACAGCGAATTACTCCTTTATTTCTTGATAGTCGAAAATTAACCAAAGTTTATCATAAACTGATCAATAAGACAAATTTCTGAACTTTTATACCACAAGCATATAATTAATAAGTGTAGTAGTTGAAGCGTTAACAGACAGACCTCTGAAACTTGGCTACAGTGAATTTTTTTAAATGAAACAAAAAGCTAACAGCATTTAAAAATGCCAAAATAAATTTGCTAACAATGTTGCTATAGAACTTTTGATTAAGTTGTATATCCAGCTATGAAACGATGACAATTTCGATAATAAGCCGTTCTAAAATCTGTTATACTGAAAAAAGTTCAACGAAAAGGTACAAAGGTTAATTAAATATACACTACAATATTAATACAATGTATAAATGCTCTGAAAAATTTATTAATGCATTGAGCAGCTGCAAAGACAAGAATTTTCTCGTCTGGGTCGAGCAACTATGGAAAATATTAAGATAAATAAGGAATACTCAACTAATCATCCAAAGAACAAAAACGGAAATCGTCCGAAAATGTGAGCGCCACATTAAAAAGCAGGTCCATGAAGGAAAAACTTGACTGATACAGAGATCTGATGCAAAAAGATGTCCAAAACTGTGCAGCACGTGACAGAAAAGAAGGACACCGTTGTCGATGATCAGAGTATCAATATTATATACTGAAATAAATCAGCTGATTACGGGCATCATGAAAAATAATGGCTTAAGTTTGTGACAGTATCGACGATAAGCCATGATAAAGGAAACGAAATATGCGCAGGTAGAATAGACCTGACGATGGGCGTCAGTGATAAATCTGTTGTAGCAGCAAATGATGAGACATCACCTTACGCCTCAAAGCGAATCAGTGATACCGCGACTGTGGAAGTCATCACAAACTTGATGATAAGATCGATAAAGACTAGGCAAGAAGTCAACGCCAGCAACATGCCATTAATCGGTTAACGCACTCTTAAAAACGAAAGCCGTTCGAAACAAACTTGGCAACTGCAGGCGGTGGTCATCGGTGCACAGTCAAGTGTGAATATGTGCGCGAAAGGCAGAGACAGAGAAAGCGACAGCGAGCGTAAAATACCATTTCGGACTCCATCGTCTCCATGAACCGTAAGTCACTTCGCGCCAAATCGGCTAGAGCTTGTCTATTACCCATTCGTAGCCACATTAAATACTCTTGTGCCCGCAATTCCAACTTTAAAAGCAAAAGCGAAGCGGTAAAGCAGTAAGAGAGAAGAAGAAAAACAACAGCAATAACAGCAACAACAAAATAGCTAAGCACACACACACACAAACAACGTAAGGCAACGATGAACGGACGACAGGTCGAAAGCCAGCATTAGTCAACGAAAAGAAGCGAAACGTGGACATCAGACTAAACAAACAATAACATACGGTGGTCAACTTCTCGAGCGCTTGGAAACGTTCTTCCTGAGCAGCAGCCGATTTCTCGAAGGCTTCGTGTTTTTTGATTAGTTTCAGGACCTCCTCCAGATTTCGCTGAAAAGAAAAGCACACTTTGTATGAAATCCCGCCATCGCGAATAACAGCCGTCCATCGTTACCCCGTAGTCCTTAGAAATCAGATATGGCTCCTGTGCGAGTAACCATGCCTCAGCGACGGCGGCATCCCTGGCGAACTGATACACTTCCAAAACTGCAAGAAACAAAACTTACGTGACTACTTTGCGCAATTAGAAACAAAGAAACGTACTCAGCTGCAGATATTCCCATCGATCTTCCCACCGACGCATCATCTCAGCGCGTTCGGTAGTCAATCGGATAAGTTTCTTTTCGATCTCAGAAGAAGCATAGTGCTTTCTCGCCAACAGATCCCTGCCGAGGGCGATACAGCTGCTGAAGTTCTCCTCGCGGGCGTCGATCTCTGCCTTCAGCGACTGGTGGTTGTTCATGAGCAATTCGACGCCGCTTACGTCCCTGCAACAGATAATGTGACGACCAAATATTTGAAAAAGTACATTTTTTTAATAGATATTTATAGAAACATAAATTTATCAGAACCTCAGTTATGACAGGAATAAATTCATGATTCAAGTGAATTGTTACACGTTAACGTTAATCTCTCGTACAGCTCCGTATACTCGGTCGTTGCTTTCATCAAGTCTTCAAGATCAGGAGCCAAAAAGAAACAAAGCTGCATGAAAAAAACCATTCATTTGCCTGCGCAAATCCATGTTGAGCTCCACTAGAGTATCCTCGTAGCGCTGACCATTTCACGAGAAAAGCGCGCAGAAGTAACGTATTCATAATTTCAGATAACAAAAATCACTACAATTATTTTGCTGTTACACAGCTATAAGCAGATGAAAGCATAAATGTACCATACGCGCTATATATTTACAATTTAGATATACTGAATCACCTTCCGCGACGGGACATTGCTCCATGGTGAGGAGAAGAAACTATAAGAAAAGAAGTCGCTGTAGTAAAGCCCATCAAGTTAAATGCCGAACAGGTCAAGTCTTACAGAACCATGACATGGAACCCGACTCGGTAGGAGTGAAGGGCAAACGGACGTTCAGGCCAAGACGCCTGCCAAGTGGGGATATCACCCACATTCATTTGAAAAGATCGAATGGGATGGAAAGCACAAACAAAACTGGTACCCAGTTCTGTGTGCAGCTCAGGGCGGTCTAAGCCGAGACA